ATTTATATAAAAATTTGTTCTTATCGTCATACATATTGTCACATTGTTTTAATTACATTGATCTAATTTTGTATAGCTATCGACATTATCAATATATAAACTGAATTGTTACTCATGTATTATTTTAATTGAAATGTTAACAAAATTATAAATTAACAAACTATGGATAACAGCAATACAATATTTTTTTTATCTTAATAAGATAATTTCTTTTGTATCTTAATAAGATAATAAAACACATTTTTTAATGCTAAGTAAAAATATTTCATAATTTTATCTACAAAATTGTTATAATTAATAAATTAGAAGTTTAAACATACGTTAGACAGGAATCTCATTCATCAACTGCAGTCAATCTTGACAACTACTCCTCGTCATTACCAACAGCATATGTTAATATTGTGAAAGATATTTAGTAAAAAATTTACATCTTATTTGCAATTATATTTACACTGACATTTTACTGGCTTTCGATAAAAGGAGTCATAATGTTTCTGGTCCAAAACGTATAGATATAAATTATGTCCTGTGCATATGTGCACAGAACTAACTAACCTCTATGACATCGATATATCGCAACGATACCATGTCGATTGTGACCGGTGTGGCGTATCGATGTGTGCAGCGATACCGAATAATTTCAAAGTAGCAGCGTAGTGTTTGGTACGTAACACGTCTAGGTTAGGATAGCTATTTTCATAATTAAAAATATTCGCGCGAACACGACAATGTCATGTGATTGTTATGAGATTTTTGAATACTAACAGCGACTGATTGTCGCGTGTGATTCATTGAACAAAGTTATTTAATACACATGAGGAAGGACTTAACTATGGTGTAACGATCATCAACAGCGTCGTTTGTATCTGCACTGATCCAACACTGCTCTGATCAAGGTTCAAACCAGTAGTGTTCCTTTATTTCAACAGAACACACGATTTAATTGAGAAAAAATGGCCACGCTCGAACCAGGTATATCACTCGTCGCTCGAGAAGATGTCAACTGGAGGAAAGATTTAATTTCGCAGCTACGTGAAAGGAACAGATCTCAAACTAATTGCTTCGCGGATCTCATTAGTTTACGTAAGTTCCTTATTCTTGCTTACATCTATTCGATGCAACGCACTTGTCAGTATATTGTTTTGAATACAAAGCTGTTGCTGTGTAATACGTTCATTTGCCATATGTCTTACTTGAGCAGATGTCAGATAGATATATATATGTCTTGTAGATATATATGTTGTTATGTTCGTTTCTGCATGGAAATATTGTATTTAATGGTCTGTCATTTTAACTGAACTGGCTGTACTAGTTCAAAAAATACACATACACATTAAAGCATACAAAGCTTATGTACGAGATTTTCATGTTTCAGTGTGCGTAAATTTCTAACTAGCTGAGCCGGTGCAAGGGCTAGTGTAAGAACTAATGCAGTCAGTTCAGCTAAGAAGAACAGACTATAAGTTTCACTAACCTGTAAATTAATCTCATTTACATATATACTCATACATACGATACTTTTGTATTACAGACAATAGATTATTTGAAAGTGCAAACACATTGCGTGGTGCTAATATGCAATTGACAATAGCAAATGAAACCCTTCGTCGCGAGGTAGCCAGTGGTAATGTCGGTATAGGTGGAAATCCGGATCTTGAGGCAAGACTCCTAAAACAAGCGGAAGAATTAGCGATGCTGCATAAAAGGAAAGGAGAACATACGCAACAAATAGTAGATCTTAATAACAAACTGCAAGAAATGACAAAAGAACTTCATGTGAAGGATGTCAGGTTAGTAGGTCGTATTTATCTTTATGTATTTATGTGTATGTATTAAATAAATCAATTTTCAATAGATTTATAAGATCTGTCATATCATTTATAAAATCTATTATATTATGATCATTCTTTTCCAGTCTTGCAGAAAGTTTGGAAGTTAATGCTAACCTACGTATAGAAATAACTAAATGCCTTGGCAAAGAAAAAGAATTAGAAGGTGTTAATCAGATGCTCAAAGATGAACACCAAGCTTTGCAACTTGCGTTCGCATCCTTAGAGGAAAAACTTAGGAAAACACAGGTGCGTAACATATGACCTCTTCGTTTCTTTTGTATAATTTTCATCAAAAACATAAAAAAAGTTATGTATGTCATTTTTACTGTACGTTGCTTAAATAAGTAAGTTATTTATAGAGATGTTTCTTTATAATTAAGACATATTAGTTTCCTGTATAAAAAGTTTGATATTTATTTAAACACACAGGAAGAAAATCGGCAGTTGATTGAGCGGCTAATAAAATACAAAGCCAGAGATGCAGAAAAGATGAATGAGGAGAACGATAATTTTTTGAGGTAAGTATATATATTAATAATAATACTTATTGTGCCTTTTAAAAATCAGAATTAGGAATTATAGTCGCAAACTTGGGGAAAATTATGGGTGTTGCTTCCGTTTTTATTATTCTAACAGGATATAAAATATAGGATATCATTATAATTTGTATTTGTAATTGTACAACAAATTTTAATGAATTGATTATTTTTTATTAACTTCGTAACATTAACGCTGTCATATTATTTTTATAAGTTTAAATTTCTACATAGTAGCAATAGTTACCTTTATATTTTTAATATCTTGATTTTTTATATAATGTGACAATATGTATGTACAGTTTTGCATGTTAATTATAATATTTTGTACTTCTTAATGAATATACAAGTTATTACGTGCGTACAACTTACAACAAATACATTTTATTTTTTTTTAATTAGCTTTCTTAGTCTTCATCGTTTTTTCTGCCTGCATTTTATGTACTCTTACTGATTTAGTATACATGTTTGCGTGTCATGTGTGTCATGTGTTGTATAATGTAGATTTGCATGTTTAGTTTATCTATGAAGTAATCTTTTGCTTGAAAAATGTCTTTTTTTAGCACACAATTTTTCTGTGGAAAAATATATTCTATCCATCACACCTATAAAATCTTATACACAGTTTAAAAATATATTGTTTAACTTATATATTTTGGTTTAAGATATAATCTTTATAATATACAGTAAATATCTTTTCAAGTTTGTTCTCTTAAATAATTTGGATTACTGTTAATTAAAATATCTAGGATGCATGTTACATAATTTCGAATGTAAACTAGATGTTTATTAACAATATGATATGCATTTTATAAATATATATATTATAGGTTTTCATTAAATCAATCTCTCTCTCTCTCTCTCTCTCCCTTTTTTTATTTACAAACAACTACAAGCAATAAAATTTAAAAACTATTAATATACATATATATATTTTAATAGTAGGTTGTATATTTATATACATGAATTTTCTTATAAGTGCACTTTTATAAGCTATAAATGTTACAGTATTTAAGCTTTCTACAGAATATACACAATCGTTTACATTTTGTCACTCTGGGGCTTTCTACACTGGCACATCAGATTGCTTGACATTTTCTTTTCAGTTTTACGAGTCCAACTGCCTTTTTGATGCATACCCTATCCAAATTTGGGTAAGTTTAATGACATGAAATGAAAAACATTTTGCTTAATGCTAAATAACTTTGGGCTGGTAATTTTAAGGAACTATACACTTTACTTCGCATTTTGTATATTGATTCAGGTATTTTATCTGTGGGTGACTGTGCGGTGCATCTGGTTGATACCTAATAAAAATAGTATAAATATAGTATATAAACATAGACAACAAACTTGGAAAGAAAAGAAATATTTACTACCTTCGTCTATATTTTTTTCTGTAATATTTTCATAGAAATATTGGATTTGCTACGGGAAAACGAAAGTGGAAATTATATGCATGTCAAAATGGCAAATTCTATAATACTGTATAATACTATAGCTTTTTAGTATAAGATATATGGTGTGAGATAATCATGGAAAATATAAACACATGTTGCGATATATGCTTTAAGTTGCTTTTGCAACTTCATTGAGTGTGAATACAATGTTGCATTCATTTAATAAAACATCTCTCATTTCTTTACAGAAAGAGGCAAGCAAAGATGCAGAAAGAGTTAGAAGATGCAGCACGAGACACACGACCCATCAGTCCTGATCGTTCGAGTTTAAAAGAAGGAATCGCTGGTCTTCCAACAGCAGTGCCAACGAATGTATCTGTAACGTTTGTACGTTGACTTAAACATAAAATATATCGCGCGTTCTTACTATGAAAGTATTTACACGTATCAGTATTCAATATTATTCAATAACATCGAAATACAAAATTGCATGCTTTGTACGTCGAAATATACGTATATTTAATAACACCAATCTGTTTATAAGCATCAAATATTTAATTTTTATCTAAGTTGTCGACTAGTATTTTACTTAACAAAGTAAATATTTCGTGATTTAGTTTCGATATATTGATTGATTTTGGTATATCACTAGTGCTTTCTAAATGTGAGATATTAAATTTCTTTTTTTTTATTTTTTCCAATGTATAATAACCAATGATTCTTTCAGCAGAAGATGTTATATAGGTTTACATGCCGCTTTATTAAGTTCTCGTTATTTTAGAAGGCTTTGTCTTGTATTATGCTTTGCAATGCATATTGAATGTATTAACGGTGTTATTTTTAATTAGTTGACCTACGTGGGACTTTATGATCAAGATATATCATTTCACTCCTAAGGAATAGGAAAGAAGCTTCTTTAGTATCAATTCTTTAACTTTTTGGATAAGAGATTTTCTTCAAATGTAAAATTACAGTATATATACTTGTATATATACAGGTAACATTGACAGTGTATTGGTAAAGCTAAGTTTTTAAGTACATACTACAACACATACATTTTTAAGCAAAAATTAATATTGCCTATAAAATATAATATTTTAGGTTTAATATTATTATTATTGTTATCGAAATTAGACTAAGTATTGTTTTATGTCAAAATGTTATAATATATGCTTTGGTATATTAATATATTATATAAAAATCACTATATAAAAATTTTTATTTGTTTAGTATTAAGTGTCCTTGCGATGTTCTTGCATGAAATATCCGCTTTAATTTTGAATTTCGGCGTACAAAGTTTGTAGTATATACTACTATTTTTAAATAAAAATTGAATATTAATTGAAAAATTGAATAATCTATTGGTAAGAAAAATTTATGCATTTAAAGTAACACATTATTACGTGTGTTCATGGTCATTAATATCTTATGGCGAAAACTAATTTGCATTTCATATTGATTATGCATTATGAAATCAAGTCCATACTTCATTGACATTGCATGTATGTAATAGATTTCATTGTATGCATGCAAGATGTCCTTTTTAGCAATCTTATACATCAAGTGTTTAATAATCCTTGCAGAGTGCCCATGACGGTGAAGTTTACGCTGTTAAATGGTCGCCTACCGATAGAATCTTACTGGCTACTGGTGGTGCTGATAGAAAAGTGAAGCTTTGGAACATTGCCAAGGGTGATTATTAGAATATATCACTATGTATCTTGCATATTATTATGTAAAGTTTTATTATTTATTTTATCTGAAATTATTGCAATGACATATATATATAGACATTTTTAAATTATTGGTAGGATTTTAAGGTAAAACAAATCATTTATTGCGATTTTTCAATTTTTAATATTGACTAACCTCAGATATCACACATACGTATCATAAAAAAATTCGCACAGAAAATTGTTGCCGTGAATGATGATGTGTAGCGCCGATTGCCGCGACGATAGGATGTAAATTACGTTCGAAGCGTCGAACGCGTGCGAGGGAAAGAATGCGATTAGTCGGAGCATTCACGCGGGTAAACGACACCTCGAGCCGCGTGGTAGTCGCAAGTGCATCGCGTGCAAGCGGCGGAGATGATCTCCTCCTGCTAGGAACTTTTTATTTGCTAGTCTTGTTATTATTCAAACGACGAGGTGCGGTGATGCGTTTGAATTATGGCGCGTTCCTTCGTTTGCATTCAGACGCTGCTGTAACTTTTACGAAACTCATTCGTACGGATTAACTTTCTTTATTCGATATCGGCATCTTCACTTGGTCGTTCTTTATTTATAAATTATTAAGAAAGGAGTTTTAATGAGTAAAATGCGACTACGAAGAAAGAAAGGAAGAGAGAGAGAAAGAACATCTTTCGATTTGCAAATGTTATAGCGTTAGGTTTTGTATCTGGTTAATAAAGTGTAATTACGGTTTTATAATCCAATTACGGTTTACGCGCATAAAATTAATTCCAACTAGCGTGGCACGAAATAAGATGATACACGAACCTTATGTTAACCGGTGGTTAATAAAGATCTTTACTGAGACGGGCAAACCGACTTAAGTGTATTTGTCGACGTAACTACATCTCTCCGCACTACGATGCACTTATCATAGGACGGTTTTATTATAGACCGTTAAATGTATTTGTGTGTGAAACGTGTGATATATAGGATGTACTTAAATTCGATTTATGTGGAGGTCAAGAACACTACTTAGTACTACTATTCAAAAGATTAGTCTCATGACGAAAAAGTTAACACGCATAAAAACATTCGTGTTATTGATTGTTTAATCATTAGGAATAAATATGGAGATTCTCCCGTCTTTCTGGCGTCCAATTAGTGTCTGGAGTATATTTATCTATTCGCTTTGTTATGCTCTTTATTCATTTCTACTTAATACAAGCGACTGGTTGTGTTATTGTTATTTTTTTTCGCTTAAAAGACTCCCTGATCCACTTAATAAAGTATGTTAATGAATCAACAGGTTACTTTGCACTCTCTCGCGACGACGTCTAGTAAAAGCCGTTCTGTCGGCAGAATCGTTCTCCGCGCTGTGGCGAAGTGATCGCACACATGCTGTAACACTCTCCGATGTAATCCCTCTACCCCTCGCGTTGCAAATTGGATGAAACATCCGTCTTTATTGTATGGGTTATATCCGCTTAGCTCGAGATTTGCTATTCCGAATCTCTATACATTTTATACATTCTCCATTCCTCGACTTTGTTACTCGCTCTTCTTCATCGTTCCGTCCTGCATTGAGGCATAGGGATTGAGCCTTATGTCTCCCTTTCTATCTCTGTCTCTCTTTCTTCTCCTCTTTCCTTCTGCCCGCTTTGAAGATCTCCCCTTCTGTTCCGCCATTCGGATTGCAACGCGGCTCGCTCGTTGCCAATTAAGTTGTCAGGGCATAAATTTAATTAGTTATACTCAAAGAGTAACGCGCTGTTTAGAAGAAAGGGAGACAGAGGGAGAACGGTGGTGCAACTGAGGGAAAAACTGATTGAGAGATGTGCGTAAACCGAAGAATTAAACACAGCATCGCGCGAGCGAATTGTATAATAACGTGCACACAAACGTTCGGTTGCAGGTACATCCGAGAGCAAGGGCATCCTAGTCGGCAGCAACGCTGGTGTGATGTCGGTGGACTTCGATTCGACTGGCACTCTCATCCTCGGAGCGTCGAACGATTACGCGAGCCGCGTTTGGACGGTCAGTGATCTTCGCTTAAAGGTGAGTTTCTGCATTAATTATCCGACCTAGTGCGTGGTCTTAGATTGTGACGCATCTCTACACACACATACAAAACGTCACGGTAATCCGAAGGGCCGCTCCAAAGACATCGGAATGACGTATTTTGAGACTCTGTAGTGTGTGAATCTGCCGTATTGAGATATACAAAGTTTACACGGCGTCGTGAAACAGAGTTATGACGTTTAATTAATCTGTGGCCTATGTACCTGTTAATTATGGTATGCTATATATATGAATTGTCGTACATGTAAGACTCTCTCTACGCTATAAACAAAGAGATGCAATATAGTAGATATGGAAATCGTGCATAAATAGCGGATTGATGATGTAATCGGGATTAACGGGGTATGGACGAGATTTATATTTTTCGCATTTCTACGAGGATTTTCGCACAGGAAGCTTCTAGTAGAAAATTTTATTTAGATGAGAGATTCCTCATGACGTAAGAGAGAGAGAGAGAGAGAGAGAGAGAGAGAGAATACGCATTTAAACGAAATATAACTGTAATATTTGTATAAAAGAAAAAATGATGTCATAAATATGGCCCATTTTCTCGCGTTAAAATGCAGTAAGGAATATCGTGAATGCAAGAGTGAAGTATCGAGGAAGAATGAGATCTTTTGAGCATTAATAATTTAATTTCCCGTACGAAGCGAAATGTACGATTTGTTTTTTCGTCGTACTCTACATGTAGGTTAATATTGATGGCTGTTTTTAAAGACTTAAATTCCTGACTCCGATTGCCGTACAAATATGCTGCTGCTCATTCGTAATTGTACCATGGTTCTATGAATACTCACTGTAAAGCTGAATGTATTACGGAATTAGCGGCTCCATCCCTCTTACGAAGAGATGAAGCGCTCGGCGCAACAATACTCGACCGAAATATCGGAAATTCATCCGACAGCAGCGAGTTTGCAAATTTTTTAAATCCACGGATTATGGACGAAGCGTTGAAATTACACATCGAAAGTCGTAAATACAGCAATATGAACGAATAAAGATCGAAACAAGCGATCGCACGTGCGCTATATTTCTGTACAAATACAATCTATTATTAATTTTTGATTTTTTTAAAGATTACATATCGAGATATATAACATAGATCGAAATAGAGAAAATATTGACATATGTATTCGGAGAAAGAATTACACCTACCTTAAAGAAATTTCGCGTATGTGTTCCTCCAAAAGCTAATCTCGTCAATTCCCAAATATTGAAAATACTATTCCGACTACTTAATTATATTTCCAATTCCCCGTCTGCAATCTGCTCTTTTAAGCAGCCGCGAGTTAGACCGTGAGCGTATCTACGGTCGCACTCAATCAAGCTTTCACAGCGTATTGCGCGAAGTGCAAACAAAAAGAAGTTACATTAAGATGGAACAAATGACCTAACAACTGCAATAATGAGACGCGCTCATCTCGTCCGCGTGAAAACGTGATTGGCTGTACGAACGTGTCTCAGGAAGCGCATAAAGAGACGTCTCGCAAAACATGCATTAAATTACCGGTCTGTTCCGTCGGCGCGCGCGAGACAGCCCGTGAATCTACCAGCAGCAGTAGAATATGAAATTTATCGTCACCTTCTTCCCTGCGATCTATTATCCTGGCCGCGGTTCATGTAAATCCTTGTCGGCACGATCGTAAAGCTAATGACAATCCGCAAAAAGTTCGCCACTGAATCCGCTCTATGAACTTTACCTCCCGCGCGATCGTTACTCACGCTTACGATACGTACGTATCAAAAGTCCAGGGCTCGATGCTTCCTGTCCCTTTGATCCCGCACTGCCCGAAAGTTCCTTCGCTTCTGCTTTCTTCATCACCGGCATGACACATACGACATCTGGGAGAACATACGACATAACGGAGAAAGGAAACTTTCGTGCCGCGCTCCGTACTCTAAGCGCATCATCCTTTTTCACGCCCTCCACTTCCTGTTGCCGAAATATCGTCAAAGATATCGAGAAATTGCGAAATGAGTAATGCCGTAAATCATCGACTATTCTCCCAGCAACGTCTGAATATTGAATCTCCCGGTTACATTGCCAGTTCAATATTGGTTATATTAGATAGCAATGTTCGCTGGCATTATACGTAAGATTATATCATTTAGTTGTTTCTGCAAATTATTCGAAGTAATGGTTCTCTTATCTTTCACCACTGTGATTTTTATCAGTCAGAGGATTGATCCTGAAATTAAAACAATCGAGACTAAAATCATAAAATAATTAGCGACAAGATGAAGAAAATGGCGATCCGAAATTGTCACGTTGATTTCCAAGCAGATATCCGGCAATTTTCTAGCGGTTCATGTCTAGAAACTAATTACGTTTCATAAATTGATATTGATAATCATGCGGAATCGATAAACCGCATATGAATGCCATTTTAACGGCGTTTCGTGGCTATCATGCAAGTAGCTTTAAATTATGAAACGATAACGAAAGCGCCGTAATGTAATAGAAGCGTCACTTAGCATCGTTACGCAGACGTGACGACGTCGAAGTTTAACATATGATAGCGCAAATGTTGATCACTGCTAATACACGTTATTTCCTTTGATCTGCGCCCGAAGCCGGGCTCCGGTATGTAAGAACTTAAGTACATGGTCTGTCGATAGTCGGCGATGCACACGCGTGCAGTCATGTATGTAGGAGTAATCAGAGATGATCGATTGCGATGAAACTTTGAGTCCCACGCTATACGTATCCCCCAAGCCATGTGTGTGTGTGTGCGCGCGCGCGCCTCGTTACTTTGATAGGATTGTCAGAGTGTCGTACTGATGTAACATGATTAAACGCTGGGAGCAACCGGCGATGATTGTCGGCAAAGCCGACGGGAATCGACGGACAGGAGGAGAGAAGGCTTCTGCGCCAATCCCGCGACCGGTCCTTGCAGTTCTAGATGAGGCTCAACGGTACTTTGATTTGTACCGTGTATATGACCAAATCAGTCGGGTTTCATCGTCAGTTCTCTTTCTTCAACGCGGTTTCGCGGAAGTCACGTCGAACGTTCGATCGATTCGTCGCGGTTACGTTTGCGGCGGCCCGAGTCGTTAAACAAATATATCTTACAAATTAGAGCGCGCGCGTTCAGGCCTGTCTTTCGTAGAATTCACATACTTCCGTCGGACAAATTACCGTGTACATAATCTATTCTTACTTCGGCGACGTCGTATCAGTTTTGCGAATATGATATCGTGTAATAATTGTGAAAGAATTTCCGACAGAAGGGTAGGGCTCTCGGTTAATGGCATTTACCTTTGTAGTTGGGGGGTTTTTTTTTTTTATCTACCATGGACGGGGTTGTAGCAGCTGGATGTATCGATATATTCCGTATGGATTATTATCCCTTATTACACTATATTATCCACAGAAATTTAAAATTGCTTAGACATATTTCGCAGATAGCTTATTCCCGGGCTTACATTAACAATACCGTGCAAGAATCTCGAAGCCCACCGTGCTGCTTTCGTGAGAGCTATCGTCGCGGTTTCAGTATCCGAAGCAATCTCTCTCTCTCTCTCTCTCCTCAGTGCAATTACCCGCATTATTCGTTGGATCACGTGACAAGATTTGGCGAAGACGATGCCGGTGAGATTGAGCCGATAGTCTGTCTTTACAGCCGCGCAATTCCATTACATACTTGATACGTCGTTCACCGGCTAAATGTGCGTCGCAGTATAAGCTGCCGCTTGTTCCGCGCGCGTTCTCAGCGTGCAGTAATATCGCCGTTTACAGCACCGGTGGTTTCCGGCGGTTACCGGTGGAATACAATGTGTAATATATCTGTGCGCAAGCGAGCATACGCGTATCGTCCGCGTATCGCCGGATGTGTTAAATGTGATTATTCGACGCGCCGAGGTATCGCAGCCGTTCCCGGCGTTGCATTCCGTCCAATCGGTCCGATCCTCCTTTCTTTCTCCCTCCATTCTCTCTTCGCCGCTGCTCTTACACGCTTTTTCGCACCGCCGTACTTGAAACAGGGGCTCTCTCTCGCCGGGAGAATCTACTGAACAGCGGCAGTTTCATTCCGAAGATTGGTGGCCAATGGCGCGTAAACTCACGGGAAAACACGCGGACTCTGAGGGATTCGAGCCATAACCAGTCTGTAGGTTATTCAAGCTGAGAGGTGCGAGAGAGAACTGACCACCTGATGTTTATTCTCAAGTGCTCCGCCTGGAGAATATTGCCGGCATCTGTCGATTTTAACGAAATGCGATTTTTACACGAATTCTCGACATTGCGGTGTCCGTGCTCGTTTCTTCTGATAGCCCGATATATATTTTTTTTTTTTCGTTCTTTCCTTGAACTTCTCGAGAATTTCGTATTTCGCGTGGTGAAAGATTCGCAGTGTATTCAAGCATAAAAGCGAATGCCATTTCGAGGGAGCGAGTTCGTGTAATTTGCGCTACCTACGTCGCGCATTGCGCCACTAAAGACTGCCCTCCCGCAATTAATAAGATTTACCGCGAAATTTTAACCAGGCGGACTTAACGAATGTCTTCTGTACGCCGCGGAAGCGCGACCTGATTAATATCTATATAATATATCGACCATAATTGTGCCCATAACGATCAATATTACACCCGCTTAGATTATTAACAGGGGGAACCGCATATTACAGTATAACGATTAGGTTCATAATATATTTACGCGATTTAGGTAAAGCAGTGGGAATTTCAAGCGTTATTAATTCAGGTGGCGGTATAAAACAAGAAGCGTTAATGCGGCGTTATCATCTGCCATGAAAAATATATTTTCCCATCTGGGAGAGATCGAGATCTCGCTGAAGAGAAGCGCGATATCAAATGGGCCCGTGCGATGGTGTTATTCCTCTCTCTTTCTTTCTCTCCATTACTACCTCTCCTCCCGTCGTTCTCCGGGAAACAGTATCATCGATACTTTCTCCCCGCGACACCACTTCCTAAATTTTATATTTCTCGCCAGACCCTTGTTTGTCACCCTCCCGGCAAGG